GAGATACTTTTTTTTTCAATTGGGTCAAGTTAAGCGAGTAACGGAGTCAACTGCGTGACTCGACAGAGGGACGAGCCTGTTATCACGTCGGCCGTCCTGCGCCGCCACACAGCAAGTGTCAAAACGTGACCGACCTTGGCTAGTGCAGAGACGGCTACAAGACCCGACCGACTCGTCGCTGAAAGTCACCCCAATTTCGAATTTCATCAAACGTATGGGGATAGGTTCATATTCCGTCGTCTTCTTTCACCAGTCGACTGGCCAATGACCGTGCGTTTTCCTCTTGCGTTTCTTCACATCCATCCACTCGAGATAGAGCCCACTTTGAAGAGGGGGAGGGGGAGCGGCCGCACTCCTAACCGAGAGACTTTCTAGGCGTGTCTCGGGCGGACAGACGGAACCCGAGATAGCAGGGGCGATCCCGATGCTGTACATGTACAGTCGGCAGGCGAACTGTACGCGCCGGACGGCGGGCGCCTGCGGTCCACGGGGTAGGCCAGCCCGCCGCACACGGCTGTCGAGCGGGCGGCCTGCCCGCGTCCGTGGCCGGCGTCCCGCTCAACGCGCCGGCCAGGTCGACTGCTGCTGGCAGGGCGGTCGGCCGGCGCCGAGGTTATTGTGGCCCGTTTGGGAGTCCAGAAAGTACGTCCGTTTTTATTTTCTCAGATTAATTGAGCAAACTGCGGGAGCTTGGCGCCTGCGAGACTCAGGGTAGGCCAGCCCGCAGTGCACGCATGCACTGCTGGCAATATGTTGCCTACCTACCAGGCGCCATGAGGGCTTGTTTGGCTAGTATGAACTTGTTGTGTTCGTGAGAACGAATGAAGGGCGTACTTTCTAGATGATCCGTAGGGTACTCGCCGCACTCCACGGCGGCCTGGCGTAGGGCGGCCAGGCGTACGGCCGCCTGTGGTCCGTAGGGTAGGCCAGCCCGCCGCGCAGGGCTGCCAGGCCGGCGGTCGGCCCGGCCCGTCCGGCCCGCGGCAGCTGGCGCCCCTTTGGAACGCGAGCCATACTCACTGGAGCAGGTCCGGCAGGGTGAGGTTGTGGCGCGGCACGATGTACTCGTCCAGGTCGATCTGCGCGACGAGCGCGTGCCGGTTCATGTTGCGGTACATGCAGTCGTTGAGCGCGGCGAAGAGGCCCTCGGTGCGGATCTCCCGCTGCGAGGCCATGTTGAGCCGCCAGGGCAGCAGCGTGACCCGGCCGCGGGCCGCGTAGTCCTGCAGGATGCACGACACCTGCGGGCACACGGCGGCTGGCTGAGTACACAGGCTGGCAGGCTGGCTCACGGTACATCGGCTAACATGGCTCTTCTTTTCTCACCTGAGGGCCGATGGTGTGGTTGTAGAAGGTGAAGTGCTCCGCCCCCAGCATCGTGTTCAACTCGAGGAACTCGAGCATCTCAACTGGCTGCGGAAATGAAAATGAAGCTACAAATGAGTGGGAAGGCTCTCGGGGAGGGAGAGAGGGGTGCGCATATTTGTTGAAAAGGATAACACGGGGCAGAAAATGGATGAGGTGGGTGCGAGCCAAAGCCATCCTGGCGTCGGGCCAGGGCCAACACGACACTGCGAGGGAGGGGGTTGAGGGGGTGAGCCTGAGCACCAGCGCACAGTGGCAAACAGTAATCATTGAGTAAGCGCGTAACAACAGGCAAATGTAATGAGTTTATGAATTTTATGGCTGCGTTAAAGGGATGACGGTGTGAATTCATAGCCGCATTTATACGACCTTATAATAACCATCCAACGGCTTTAATTGCCAAGTTTTTGTTTTTACCAAGTAATTTGTGTATAACGAATTTGTTACCATATGGGAGGCTTGCTGTCAGCGTTTACATCCCTTGTCAAGAGATTTACTGGATTTCCTCACTCCAGCCATGCACCATGTGCTTCACCTGTATCAACGCAAAGTGGCTCTCGCGCACCCCCGACCCCGCCCTCCACAGTGCACGCCCCGCTGGAACTCACCCGGTTGTAGCTGAAGTGCAGCGGCTTGACGCACACGGCCAGAGAGTTGGGGTCGAGGGCCGGCGCGTCGCGCGGCCGCTCCAGCTGGCGCACGGCCAGCATGTTGTGCGGGCGAACGCGCAGCCGCGCCACCACGGACACGGCCTGCGGCACGGTCTGGTTGGGCTTGAGCAGGCACAGCACGAAGCACGCCGAGTACTTGAGGTTCCAGTTCTCTCGGATCACTTTGACCTGCAACAGAGGCGAGCAAACGCGACGGTAGTTTTGA